AAAAAAAAAAAAAAGAAATAAATGGAACCCTAAGCAATACTCTTCTCTGTCTGGCTTTTCACTCAACATTCAATGTGTGACATTCATCCATGGTGTGGTGTGTGGCTATGTCACAATTTCTTCATCTACTCTCCTGCTGAGGGATTTAAGTTATTTCGCATTGAAGAGTTATTAGAAGTGATGCTGCACAGTCTTTGGGTGACATGTGCCTGCACTTCTGGTGGGTGCGCATCTAGGAGTGCAGTTGCTGAGTGGGTTTTTGTTCAGCTTTGATAAATACTGTCAAACAGTTTTCTAAAGCAGTCGCACGGATGTCTATTCCTACTGAGAGGAGTACAAAAATTGCATATCCTCATCCTCAACAAGGTGCAGGATGTTGTCTTGTTTATTTTAGCCATTCTATTAGGTGTGTCCCAGTTTCTGATTGTGGTTTTGATTGCATTTCCCTAATGTCTACTGAGCTTGAGCATCATTTCAGGTATTTATGGATCATCCATGTTTTGTTCAAAGCCTGGTAGAGTCTCTTGCCCACGGTTCCACTGGGTTGTTAGATTATTATTATCATTATTATTATTAATTTGTCAGAGTTCATATATTTCAGATATAAGTTCTTTATTAGATACTGTATATGTATTATGAATATTTTCCCCTAATGAATTAATGATGCCTTTAATAAATAATAGTTTTTAATGTTAATGTGGGACTATTTGCCATTGTGGTTAGTGCTTTTTATCTTTTGTTTTGAGAAATCTTCTCTTACTCCAAAAATAGGGAGATATTCTATATTATTTCTATAAATAGTATTTCCTTTCATACGTAGATCTAAAAACCACTAAGTTAAAACCTAAAATACCCACAAATATGATGTTTGTATACAAAATAGTAGTGTCAGCCTTCATTTTTCCCCAGTTTGGATATTCATTTGATGAAACACCATTTGTTAAAAGATGATCATTGCCTTCTACAGTACCACCACTGCCATAAATCAAGTGTTCATGCATAAGTTCAGTTCTGGGCTCTCTTCTGTTCTAATGGTACATTTGTCAACTCTTGCATCAATCTTATACTCTTTCACTACTGTATTCTTATAAGTATTGAATACTTCAATCATCTTCAATTGTTCTTGGCTATTCTTGGCCCATTGCATTTCTATATAAACATTAGAATCAACTTGTCAATAGCCTCAAAACATTCTGCCAGAGCTGCACTTGAACTGGAGTTTGGAGAAAACTGGTATCTGTATTGTAGTGAGTCTCTTCATCCATAAACATGGCATACCCCATCAGTGACTTAATCTTTTATGATTTCTGTAAACATGGCTTACAATTTTCTCATCTAGGTCTTGGACATATTTTGTTAGACTTATGTATTTGTTGCTTTTTATTCTATTGTAAGTGGTACTAATTTTTAAATTTTAATTTGCTTATTGTTAGAATACAAAAATCTATTTGTATATTGATATGATAGCCAGAAAATTACTTAACAATTTTAATGATTTATTTGTAGATTCTTTTGGATTTTCTGTCTACACAAGTCTATCATCTTCAAATGAGAGTTTGAGTTTTCCTTTCTGATTCGTATATTTTTATTTTTTTCTTGTCCTATTTCACTGGCTGGGACCTCCAGTACAATGTTGAAGAGAAGTGGTGATAGCAGGCATACTGAACCCATTCTCAGCCTAGAGGAAATGCTTTCAACATTTCACCATTACATATGGTGTTGGTTATAGTTGTTTTTTTTTTGGGAAATATCCATTACCACATTAAGAAAGTTTTTCTAGTCCTGATCATAAAATAGATTTTTGTCAAATACTTTTTTTGGGATCAATTGAGATGATCATATAAGTTTTTTTTCTTTATTCTGTTAATGTGGTGAATTACAATGGTTGATTTTCAAATGTTAAACCAACCTTGCAATTTTAGAATAAATTGAAATTTATTGTGATATAGCACTTTTTTGTTAATACAGCACTGGATTTGATTTGCTAATATTTTGTTGGAAATTTTGTGTCTGTATACGTGAGCTCTCTCTGATGGCCTATAATTTTGTTCTTAAAATGTCCTTAGATTTTGTTTCAATGTTGGTAGGCCTCATAAAATTAGTTGGAAAAATGTTCCTTCTTTTCTCATTCTGCAGGAATTTGCATATGATTGATATTATTCTTCCTCAGAAATTAGGAAGAATTCCTGGGTAAAGCTGTCAAGTCCAGGAGTTTACTTTGAAAGAAGGCTTTTAATTACAAATTCAATATCTGTAATTGATACAAGATTATTCAGAGTTTCTATTTTTTCTCGGATTTTGTTTTGTCAAGGAATTTGTACCTTTCATCTAAACTGACAAATTTATTGACACAAAGCTTTTCAAAATACCTTCTCATTATCTTATCTTTTTTAAAATAAAATTTGTAACGATGTCTCTTTTACATTTGTGATTTTAGTCAATTTGTATTTTCTTTCTTGCTTTTAAAAAATTAGTATTGCTAGGGGCTTTTCCATTTTAATCCATGTTTTTCAAAGAAGCAAATTTTGGTTTATTTATTTTCTCTACTGCACTATTGTTTGTCATTTAACTCTTACCTTCATAATTTCTTTCCTTCTGTTTTTGTTGATTTCAAATTTCTTGATATAGATGTTTCTATGATTGAGTTTTCAGACTTTTTTTTTCTAATAAATGCTCTTAAGACTATAAATACCAATTTGTTCATTGTGTTAGCTAAATCCACAAGTTTTGATATGTGATATTGTCACTATCATTCAGTTTGAAAATATATTCTAATTTCTACCATTGTTTCTTCTTTGAACCATGGATTATTTATAAGTATATTGTTTAATTTCCAGATATTCATAATTATTCAAGTTATCTTTCTTTTCTAGTATGGTCAGGGAACACATTCTGTGTGATTTTGATCTTTTACACTTTATTTAAATATCCCTATGGCTTACACAAGTACCTGTGTATTTGTAAAGACTGGGTATTCTCAAGTTGTTTGGTGTAGTATCCTATATATATCATTTAGGTCCAGTTGCTTAATTCAAATTTTCTTACTGATTTTATTATCTGTTGTTCTTTTCATTACTAAGAAAAATACATTAAAATCTTCAACTATATTAGGCTTGTCAATTTCTTCTTTTAGATCTGTCAGTTTTACATAGTTTGAATTTTTAAGTAAAATGAACTTTCAATGGTTGAAAACTCATGAAAATTTATTTTTTAAAAAGTGGGGGGAGCAAACAACTCTGAAACCCAACCTCAGGTCCTATCTAGCCTCTGGACTGCCAGCCTCAGACCCTGCCCATTTCACCACCTGTTTTTCTGATCTCCATTGTTTCCCTGGCAGATGTGGTTTCCTGGGGGGAATGGCAGAGGTCCTGGTGGTTTTTGAGAGCCCAGGGTCACTAGTGCTGACCCATGCTCTTACCCAGCCAAGGCAGCCACAGACCCCCTGCTCTGACACCCTTCCCTGACTGGGGCCATGGCTTCCAGGACCCTTACAGAGCTGGTGGCTCATGCCCAGCCCTCCTCCTCTCTGAGCCCCTGCAGGGGCGAGGCTCACCTTGCATGCCCGAGGGCCCAAAGTCCTGCCGTGTGAGGAAGATGGCATGATCGTGGTATTCATCATGGCTTGTGTCTGGCTTCTGCTGGAGGTAGGCCCAGCGGCAGACGTTCTCCAGGCTCTGAGAGGGGTTCCCAATCTCGATAAGGCTCATGGACTGCAGGAGAGGTGGAAGAGGGGTTAGAGTCCATTGACCAGCTGGGGGCTCAGCAGTCTGCAGTGTTGACAGACCCCATCCACTGGGGACCTAGGTGGCACGAAGTCCCTCTCAGGACCCGTCTCCCACTTGCCTCCATTCTTGGCTCCCTGGTCACACACACCTGGGTGAGTTTCCACGTAAAGTCACTGCACAGTTTTCAAGTGAGATGTGGAAGCAAAGTTCTGAGCTCATCTAAGGCCTCAAGTAGCCCATTTAGCCTATGCCATTTCCAGGGCTCCCTGCATTCTACGAGGCACCCGTTCTGTGCAGGCCCTGGACAGGAGGCAAAGGCCATGTGGGCCTCACCCAAAGAGCTCGCAGTTTGGTCAGGGTCCAGGGCAGGGGAGAAATAAACCCCAATGTGGCGTGCGAGCCCAGAGAAGCGGACAGAACACTGTATTTCACCCTGTTTGAAGACATTTACAGAAAACAACACAATAGAGGGGAAAACTCCAGTAAAGGAGCCGCATGAACAACAGGGCATAGAGCTGATTCCCTCAGGAGCCATGGAGAGGAGCAGTCACACACCATTCTTTATTATGACACACACTTGTTAGCCAAGGCTGGCCACGCTCTTCACTGTGTCATTGCCATTCAGGCAACACAGCCACCCTGAGAGGAGGGAAACTGAGGCTGGGGGAAGTCAAGTAACTTCCCCTAGGTCACGCAGCTAGAAAGTGGAGTTGAGATCTGAAACCGGGAAGCCTGAAACCAAAATCTATATTCAGTCCCTTGCCCTAAACTGTCTCCCCAAATAAAACATGCACCATAGCACCTCAAAAGGAAATCTCCTTCAAGTGGTATGCGTCCCTTTCTCTCCCAAGCCTCACACGAGGCATTTTAGTTTCTGCTTTCACCACATACTCCCATCATCAAAGTGGTTCCCTCCAAGCAAAGAGTCCTGGGCACGATCTTTTTCTCTTTAAAGGTACATCTGTCCATAAAGTAGAGATAGGCATTCCTTGGTAGATGCGCGAAGGCGTTCTGTTGTTTTTCTCTCATAAATATATCCATCGAGCATAGCCACACATCTCCCCTCGTGTGGATAAGCAGCAAGAGCAGATGTGGGGTATTGCTAGGAAGCCAGGGTGTTCCACAAAGAGAAAGAACAATTCAAGGCTGGGGGGTCTGCCCATTGCCAGGAGTCTCGTGTGTTATCCAAGTAAATGACCCGCACAATGGCAGACCAGTTCCCAAGTCCCAAGCACAGAGCTAATTGCTCCTGGGGGGTGAGATTAATTGCTATAAAAAGATACAGTACGTCCTAATGAAGTAAGTCATAGTCCAGAGTGAGAGGGCTGGTGACCAGGACCTGTTGGACATTGGCACAGAGGTGGACAGCCCAGAGAAAGCTAGAGGGGAGGGGAGGAGCTCTTCCTGCCCCCCTGGTGACTGAAGGGATCATGTGACTAGCTCTGGCCAAAAGCTGTGAATCAAAGTGATGTGTATCTCTTCCTGGTCAGAGCATTTATTTGCCCCCATGATACCCTCCATAAATCTCTCCCTCTGGCATGTGAACCAGCAATGTTAAGGTGGTGGCTGCTCTGTCACCCAGGCCCTGAGTGACAATGAAACTAGTCCTCTGCCAGCTCACACTAAACATATAGCCTGAGCAGGAAATAAATCTTCATTGTGAGCTGCTGGGACAGGGAGCATGCTTGTTTCTGCAGCACAACCTCACCCACCCTTGCTGATATGGGAGGGGCTGAGGAAGGAAACGACACCTGTATCACATCCAAACTAGACCTCTGCAGGTCAGCTCCAGTCCTGACCAGGTGGTAGCTACCTCCAGAAAACCTTGAGCGGTCACAGCCTTAAAGGAGGGACTAAGTGAAAGGATCTGTTTTCTAGGGAAAGAACTTTAGGTGGAATGAGAAGGAAGGGACTCTCATGGGTGGGTTGGATTTGGTGTTAGAGTTTGGGGCCTTGTGGCTGTACCCCACCGAACTTAAGATTGCCAGCTCAAGTCCAAATCAGAGGCTCATTACAAAGACCGCTGATGACCACTTCACTTGGCTGGCCACAGAGCCCCCCCCTGGAGGGCCACTCCCCCTGGTCCACAGACCTCCTCCAGAAAATGGGGCAGTGTTCCCCAGCCCAAACGTCAGAATATGCTCCATGGTGGCCTCGCCTGCTCTCAGGGTTCTAAGTTCCATGTGTTTGGACAATTGTAGTCTGGTCCCCTCCAGTGCCCTGGTGGGCTATGGTTACTTCTGCCTTTGCTCTTCTGATAGTCCAGTCCCCCTTTGTTAAACATTCCCTCTGTTAATCTGGGTCTGATTGCAGGTCAGGGGTGAGAGGGCTCAAGTCTGGCAATCCCAGCTCTGCATCTTCCTGGTACCACGATGGTTCAGGGAACGACACCCAGAGTGAGCCAAGGAGTTGGAAAGGTGTGAGACTGTGAGCCTGGAGCTGCTGCCCACCTCTCACCATGGGAGGAGACCCACCCGAGGAGAAGTCAGCACAGAACAGAGCAGAGTCCCTTGAGCTGGAGAGAAGCTGACTCTCATGTTCTTACACAACCGCCTGGTTCCCCAGGCCTGAGGCCAGCCTACCAACAGGCCTGTTTGCTATCCACCACTACATAACAAGTTATTCCAAAACTTCACAGTCTAAAAACACCCCAAATGTTTATTATCTTGTGGTATCTCTGGGCCAAGAATCTGAAAGCCACTGAGATCGGTACCTCTGGCTCAAGGCCTGTCATAAGATTTCAGGCCAGCTGAAGACAGAGGCTGTGGTCTCATCCGCAGGCTCCCCAGGGAGGGCCCAGCGGCCACACACACTCAGGCGGCTGCGAGCAGGATTCAGTTCTTCATGGGCTGCTGGACTGACGGTTCCCTGTCACACCACTTGGGACTTTCCACACAGCAGCTTGCTTTCCCAGGACAAATGATCCGGGAGACAAAAGAGAGCACACATCCAAGACGGAAGCTACAGTCTGTTTGTAACTGAATCTGGGTCCAACCCACACTAGAGGGGAGTGAATATGAGTATTTGCTCCGCCATGGAGCGTATGCCTGCTGCCGATGTGTGTCTCATTTATGTGTGTCAGGAAATTCTTCCTTATGAAAGTTGACTTGAGTTGTGTTATTGTCACTTGCAGCTGATAGAGTCCCGAACTTCCTGCATTTACTCTTCTAGGGACCATGGGAAGCCCAGTCAAGGGCATTAGGTGGCAGACAAAAGTCGGTGGCTGGCCTCCAGGGTCCAGCTGGTACATCCCACACCAGTAGGAGAAGAGCTGTGGCCATGTCTTTGAAGAGAAGTCAAGAGTCCAACCAAAAAGACACCCGTGTCAGGGGCATGAGTGAGGGACAGAGCCCAAGGCAAGAGGAGCCAGGCTGACACGGGGAGAAGGAGCAGGCTGGGGACAGAGAGAGAGGCCTGAGCACTCAGTGGGTGGGCTCGTGGGAAGTGCTGGGAGGATGTTGCAAACCCAAATGCCAACAGGGCCAAAGCAGGTGGTGTAAATCCATGGGGCAGGTTGATTGTAAAAAAAATGTCTTCCTTTGATTTTGCCAGTTTACAAGGGGTGAGGATCCAGAGCAGTACGTCCTGTTATGATCAAGAAAGTGGGGGGCAATCGGGAGTGGTGAGGACTGTAGCAAACCCAGGAGCCCATGCACAGCTGAAGGGACAATGACAGCACCTCCTACTGCTGGCACGCAAGAACAGAGGCTAGACTGGATTTCACAGGCCAATTTTTAAAGCTAAATTATACAAAAAAGCCTACTTCATCGTAAATGTTGGCTCAAATTAAAGTAAGTTATGTGCACAAAACAAAACACATCCTCCACTGTTGCATTATAGCCAATTCCGTTACCACCCCCCTACATTAGCCTCTGACCCATTAGTCGAGAGAGTGTCTCGGAAAACTGAGGCCGGATGGAATGATATCTGTAAAGCTCTCTCGGGGAGTGTCTCAGGTGACTGGGACCTATTGGAATGATAATAGTTATCTCCCCTGGGGGGGCACAGTAACAGTGTCTTGGGGCTATGTGGAGGAAGTGTGAAGGCACAGGATGTGTTGGAACACAAAGGGAATGCTAATGGAAAAGGTCTTAAGGCACACATAAGTCACAAATTGATTGACAGCAATGAAACAGTTTCACTTCTTTTCAAATTTCTCAATAAAAGCCATGCGCTGACCCGATTCGGGGCTCACTCAGTCTTCTCTGGCTGAGTCCCTTGGTCTCGCTGTTAATCTTACTTTTGTCTCTTGCTCTTCTTCAATCTGCATCGCCCCTTAAGAGAAACCTGTTTGCCCTTGCCACGCTGGACGTGACACTCCACGCTACCAAGCTGAGAGCCCTGGAATAAAGGTCCTCAGGAGGATAGACCCTCCTTGCATCCTTCCAGAATGGGCCAGCGCCTCCTCCCTTCCAGATGCTGCTCCCCAGGTTCAGCCCAGGTTCCCAGCCCCTCTCAGCAGCCGAAGTGATCTCGCTGCTGTGGCAGGATAATTTATTGCAATATTGATTTGTGTTTTGCTCTGGCCTTGTCTTTCCTTCACTCATTCCAAGAAGGCAGCCTGCCACTTATGTTCTCCAGCCCCACAGAGGTTTGTGGTGCAGGGTCCAGAGCAGAAGCGTCTGGGACTCCCTCCTGGCTTTTGGGTTCTGAGGAGACTCCCTGAGGGGAGGAGTAGAGAGAAGGGCCTAGGAGGGGCTGCATTGAGCATGGTGGCCCTGGGGAGAAAGATCTCAGAAATTAGTGGCCAAGCACTGGGCCATGGAAGCCTGTACGGCTGGACAGGGGACACCCCGAGAGGTTGAGGAGGAGGGTGTCAGCATTGGGCATTCAAGATGTGGGAGTTGCTTATACTTCTTATGTACAACTTTCTGAAAGTTCTGGCCAATCTCAGAGGAGCACAAGGAAACCAGGGCCTCATCCTTGCTGGGTCTGGAACATTCAGGAGGGTGTGGGGGGTGTGGGCCAGTCTGCAACCTGACATC